GGTGGATCGCTCAAGGTCAGGAGTTCGAGACCAGCCTGAGCAAGAGCGAGACCCCGTCTCTACTAAAAATAGAAGGAAATTATCTGGACAACTAAAAATATATATATATCGAAAAAATTAGCCGGGCATGGTGGCGCATGCCTGTAGTCCCAGCTACTCGGGAGACTGAGGCAGTAGGATCGCTTGAGCCCAGGAGTTTGAGGTTGCTGTGAGCTAGGCTGAAGCCATAGCACTCTAGCCAGGGCAACAGAGTGAGACTGTCTCAAAAACAAAAAAAAAAAGTCCAGAGAGATAACAAATTGTAAATGTTGTTATCACTTAAGAGGATGGAATTACTGGATTCACTATTTATATAATGTTAGTTTTTCCGTGAGTGTGTATTACTGTTGTAATTTGTTTTAATAAGACCTAAAAATTCAAATACATTTCCTAAGAAAAAGCAAATTTTTCACTTTCTTCCTTTTGTCTTTTAGGTGATTCCGGTGAATTCTACAGGCTCTCCTGTTGGGGACGTGCCATTCATCCGGTCAGGACTGCTGGGGTTTGTGGGGCCAGTAAGTGATGCTTTCATGATGATTTTGGTACATCTGATCCAAATATTTGGACTTGACTTAACAGAACAGAGCAAATTCTGATTAGTCCAAGAATGTTACAGGGCCACTTATATTTAGAGCAGTTCCTGTAAGGATGCCATAAAATGAGTTAATGTTTATTATTTCCATTACCCAAGTTCATTTGACACCTTCAGACTAAGACATTATTTTTTATTTTCAAAACACTTTTCACTTATTCTTGCTACCTTTCTTTGATTTCATTAACATGTTGCAATAAATTAGAAGAGTGCTAGAAAAAGTTACCTTTGGTAACAAAGGGAAACCGTAATAGTGTACAAAGCATTTTCACATAAATTACTGGCACTACACTATGTGTAATAGTAAATTCTTTGAATGGAAACAATTTGTTATTCAGCACATGGTATTTATAGGCACTGGGTTTACAGAGATAATCAGGGCATGAAAAACCTGTTCCCAGAGAGCTCACAGTGAACTTGATGAGCCCATGAGGATAGCAGAGAGCCAGGTCACAAAGGGCTTTGCATGACATAATAGGAAGTGGGATTTACTTTGTAAGTAATAGGCAGTTGTTATTCCCAGTTAAGCCCCTATCCTTCCATCCTTCTCTAATTACCTCCTCTCCTCTCTTTCTTTTCCTCTTAACAGCTTAAGTCATTTCAGAGAAGATCTAATTTTATTTTATTTCTTCCTTGCCATTTATGAGGGGTGCGATGAGGATATAGATCTAGGAGACTCATTCTCCTAGAAATAGTATCTGCACCTACTGTCTTGACTTCTTCACTCAGCACCAGGAAATTTTCAAAGACCCAGCTCCTTTTAGCTTACTGCTCCACTGTTGAGGTCCAAGATGGAGCTCCAGCCCTCACATCTGCATGCCAAGAAACAGAGGAAAAGGTGCAGTCCTCCTCTCTTTTAAGGCAGATTCCCTGAAGTTGTGCAACACTTCTGCTTAAATCTCATTGGTCTGAACTGGTCCCACAGGTTCACCTAGCTGCAAGGGAGGCTGAAATGCAGTCTTTATTTTGGTCAGGCATACCCAGCTAAAAATTCTCTTACTGTGAAAGAAATAGAGAAACAGACATTGGGGGACTGGCAGTGACTATCTCATTCTCTTACTAGCACCATAGCTTTTCAGGCTATGTTGGAAATGGCTGCTGCTTTCCTATCATCTGTGATGGACCAGTAGCTTCTTGAGGCTATAGGTTATGCCTTACTTACGTAGCCCAGTGAGCGTATGGCACTACATTGTACTCAACAAATCAGTGAATGACATTCACTGTGGAGGTAACTACTAGATAATTGAATATATGTAAACAGTCCAAGAAATTTAGGAATTCTGCAATGAATAAGAAAAGCTAATTTTCTACAAATGGGTCAGGGAAGATTATTTATACAGTGATGCTTTGAGGCTTTGATAGTAGGGTTCCCTGTTGCTCTGTTACCTTACTGGAAAAGAAAGGCTCCTACGGTATTCCTTACACCTTTGTTTATTAGCATATTTCTAATCTTGCCAGATGGAACAGCATTACCTTTATGAACTTGAAGCAATCATTTTTTTTTTTTTTTTTTTTTTGAGACAGAGTCTCACTCTGTTGCCCTGGCTAGAGTGAGTGCCGTGGCGTCATCCTAGCTCACAGCAACCTCAAACTCCTGGGCTTAAGCGATCCTAGTGCCTCAGCCTCCCAAGTAGCTGGGACTACAGGCATGCACCACCATGCCCGGCTGATTTTTTCTATATATTTTTAGTTGTTCCCCTAATTTCTTTCTATTTTTTTTTAGTAGAGACGGGGTCTTGCTCTTGCTCAGGCTGATCTCGAACTCCTGAGCTCAAAGGATCCACCCGCCTCGGTCTCCCAGAATGCTAGGATTATAGGCATGAGCCACCGCTCCTGGCTGCAATCATTCTTATATTAAAACTGCTTTAGTCTCCTCCTGATTCCAGTAGTAATTTCCCTCTGCATTCATTTTGTGAATAGGTACAGAAGATGAACTAATACATTATCATGGCTGGGAAAATAAACTATGTTTGTGTGGAATGCTAGTTGCTTTCTTATAAAATTCCTCCCTAACTACGAACCAATTCCCTTCTTATATATTGTAAGACTCCATTGGCTGTAGGATGCTACTGATTTCCACATTGATTTCAGAGATGTCAAGGTGAAATATTTTCCCTAGGATCCATAAAATATGGCATTGTTGTTTTTCTTATATTTTTTATGAGATTTATTTCAAGGAAGGAAGTAAAACATATCTGTTTTACTATTTAAATCATGAAAATCAAGGTAAATCATTGTTCCTTTCAGGGTAGTTTGGTGTTCGTGGTTGGAAAAATGGACGGATTACTGATGGTTAGTGGTCGAAGACATAATGCTGATGACATTGTTGCTACTGGATTGGCTGTTGAGTCAATAAAGACTGTTTATAGAGGAAGGTGAGTAGTACATAGTTAAATGTTAGCACTTCTAATGGAATCTGAATAGATCGTCACAGAGTGATTTAAGTTATATTCTGTGGATTCCCTTTCTGAGTGATTAGGTTGTTTTTGGTTAAGCATAGCAGAAACCTCACTTTGAATATATATCTCACAATTATGGTTCTTTGGCTGTAATTAAGAGGATTAAGTCATAACTATATCCTGTATTTCAGATTTTAATTATTACTATTTGTTGAATCTTGAGGACTGAGGAGGACTCTAAAACATTGAACTTCCTGCATTTCTTCAGTGCAGAAGTAGTGCCATTCAGACTAATTGAGATAGATGCTACTCTGTAGGAGTTTACATCAAAGAATTATTTCTCTTGCCCATTTCTAACTAGATTATTATACTGTTTTAATATGGAAATTGACATAGCGCGTAAGTGCTAATTTTAAATTTCATGGACAAAGTCAATTGGATATTTTTTTTTTGCTTATTAATGTAAGAAAAGATAATTACTTCCTACTGAGTAGTTGATGTCCTATTCAGCAGTTTGCAATCATGGATATAGCTCTTTAAAGCAACCTTGGTGTCCCTTTAGTTTTTTAAGAAGAAAAATTAATGAAAAGGCCGGGCGCAGTGGCTCACGCCTGTAATCCTAGCTCTCTGGGGGGCCGAGGCGGGCGGATTGTTTGAGCTCAGGAGTTCGAGACCAGCCTGAGCAAGAGCGAGACCCCGTCTCTACTAAAAATAGAAAGAAATTAATCGGACAACTAAAAATATATAGAAAAAATTAGCCGGGCATGGTGGTGCATGCCTGTAGTCCCAGCTACTCGGGAGGCTGAGGCAGGAGGATCACTTGAGCCCAGGAGTTTGAGGTTGCTGTGAGCTAGGATGATGCCACGGCACTCTAGCCAGGGCAACACAGTGAGACTCTGTCTCAAAAAAAAAGAAAAGAAAAATTAATGAAAACAAAAAAGAACCAATTTCTGAGATGTGTGTTTTTTGCAATGGTGTGGCTTCCTATGAGATTCAAACTCCATGGGGCACCAGACCTGTCTTTGGTCACAGTCCTATCCCCAGCACTCAGCACATGCCTGGCACCTAGTAGATGTTCTGCAAATATGCGTGGAGGGAAGAAGGAGGGAGTCAGGCAGGTGTGCTGGCATACTCGGCCCTCCAGTGGCTTCCATTCTTTCATACATTTATTCAACAAATACTGGGTACCAACTATGTGCCACTGTTCTAGATGCTCCGGCTACGGCCGTGAACAAAACAGGCTGAGGCTCTGCTCTTGTGAAGCTGACATTCTCATTGCAAGAAACAGACAGTAACCACATAAACAGGGAAAAAGATAAAGTGAGATGGTTGATGAGTGCTGTGGAAAAAAAACACGTGGTGGGTGGGGGTGGCTTGCTAGTTTCTATCAGGTGGTCTGGGAGTGCCTCGCTAGTAAGGGGACATTTGAGCGGAGACCTCACTCAGAACCAACTCCATCCTCCTCCCTTGGCCTCCCAGGTCCTCCGCAATCCGCCCTTACCTGGGTCTGACCTCTCCCTCCCGCTCTCTGCTTCACCACTTTGCTCCAGGCACACTGGCCTTCTTGCTGTTCCTCAAACCTGCCAAGCTCGTCCCTACCTCAGAACCTTTTCGCTTTCCGTTCCTTCTGCCCGGAAACCTCTTCCTCCAGATCTTCGCGTGGCTCGCGTCCTCACTTCATTCAGGTCTCTGCTCCAATGTCCACTCCTCAGGGAGGCGCCCCCAGCCACCCTGCCTTCAGTAATAGACCACCCGCAAACCACTCCACCCCCCTGTATATTGCAACATGACATTATTATATCTTTGTTTGTTCTGTCTCTAACACGTAAGCGCCACCAAGACAGGAACTGTGTCTTACTTACCACTATGTCCCCTACATTCATGACAGTCGTGCTTAATACATGTTTCTTGAATGAATGAATCTTCATTTTGATGGTAATGATTGTGACATTTTCTTTTCTAAATTACTCATTTCTGGGTGGTATGGTGGGGTGGATGTCTCTTCTCTGTAATTCCAATTAAGCAAAGTAAATGGGACTGGTTGTGAAGGGAGTCCTGATGTGTTTGATCTGTCTCTCTTAGAATTGCTGTGTTTTCTGTGTCTGTATTTTATGATGAGCGCATTGTGGTGGTTGCGGAACAAAGACCTGATGCATCTGAGGAAGACAGCTTCCAGTGGATGAGCCGTGTGCTGCAGGTGAGCACCCCTTGGGGTTTGTGTCCAGTCAGAGGTGGCAGCAACCACTGCTTAAGGAATTTCTTTGATGGGCCAGTAAGCCACCTTATTTTTTTCTTGCCAGTCATTGCTCAAATATTCTGGGTACTATTAGCAAAATCAGATAATACTGTTTTCTCCTTGTGGACCACATAGCATTTTTCTGCTCAGTTTGCCAAAAACAACGGAATTGACTTGCCTCAGCAAATTCTTTCATGCCTGAGTATTTGCTACTCATGAAAGTTTTCGCTGTCCATGTGTGGAACACATCTTTGACAGTAATCAATCCACTTGTCAACAGTTAGTTACAGTTTTACTGTGTGCCATGAGGGGTGCCTATAGGGTGAGGGATCCAAGAAAACATGTTACCCTTACTCTGAAGCAGCTTTATTGTGGAGTCGGAGAAGATGCTATGTGAGATAAACCATTAGGGAAGGAAAATGATTTGGGCTCAGCATAAGAAATGTGCTTCCAGGGGAGCAGAGCAGAATGATGAAAAGAGCCTAGTCTTTATTTAGAATCATAGACTTGGAACCCCAGTTCCACTTCTTTCTAGATAGGTGCCCTGAGGCAAGTTACTTAACTTCACTGACTTTATTTCCTAACTTGTAAAGTGAGGATAAAAATTATCTATTTTATAGAGCTATTGGAAGGATTAAATGACATTATTGATTGAAGTATATCATATCTGCATTCAGTAAATAATGATGGTGATTATTACTGATGTTGAAAATAATAAGCCAGGTGTGGTGGTGGCCACCTGAATTCCCAGCTGTGTGGGAGGCTGAGGCAGGAGGATTGCGTGAGCCCAGGAGTTTGAGGCTGCAGTGAGCTGTGATTGTACCTGGGAATAGCCATTGTACTCCAACCTGGGCAACATAGCAAGACCCTGTCTTTTTTTTAAAAAAAAAAAAGATTATAAGCATAATCTCCAATAAGGAAATAGAGAAGTTTGCTCAATCTAAAGTAATTTTCCCTCTCACTCTCTGTCCCTTCACTCTTCTTTATTTTTCTACTTAGCATTTATCACCATATAAGCATGTTTAGATTTCTCAATTGTTTTCTACATCCACTATAATATAAGCCTTATGGAGGCCAAGACTTCTTTGTCTTTTTTGTTCAGGGCTCAGTCCCCAGAGCCTGATAGATTTGCTAGTGCACAGCATAGTAGGCTCAGTATATATTTGTTGGCCAAATGGATGGTCCAAAGAAAGCTTGGATTGTCCTTGCCGTAACAACTTACATGTTTCTGGAAATGTCTGCAATGCCCGTGACTTCTCTACTTGGGGCATTTGGATTTGTTAACTGCCAGTTAGTAGTAATGTTGTAGAAATGATGCAAACATGAGATGAGTGGTAGGGCTAGATGACTTTTAAAATTATTTCTATCCTCAGGGTCTGTGATTCTGAATTATTAGCTGGTATAGCATAGGCTATTTGTAGTAGAAAATCAGAGAAAAGAAAATCTACTAAAGATAGACTAGACTGTGAAGAAGGTAGGACTGGGCTGATCACTGAAAGGTGACTAAGGGGCAGACATGAAAAGAGAATAGTTTTAATACCACCCATATTTTCAAACAAACAAAAATATGCCTTTTTTCCAGAATGAACTTTGAGGCATAGTGATGGAGCCTTTGGTGAATTACACATTTTTTTTCCTATTATGGAAAAATGAGTATACCTGAAATTTCCCAAGATAATTGTTACTTTTCCCTGAAAAGCAACTATAGAAATTAAATGCTATGCCAGCTTACTAATTCAAATTCTTGTGAAAGTCATTTGAGATCTCATTTGGGCATGAAATAAGAGGCTGTTATTTTCCCATCTCTAACTTCTCAGTGTGTGCACTTGGGTCCACAGTAGAACCGTTGGGGATGCCATATGTTCTAGTAGGTTAGAGACCAGAGGTTGTTTAATTCCAGGTCTGTGTATAATATAAACTAAATACCTAACTCAGCACCTTCTAAGGAAAGGCAGTTAGTAGATGACTTACCAGATGTTGTGTTTTCAGTGGGGAATCCAGGTTACATGTACTACATTTGCTAACTTTCTGTATATTCTAATAAAACAGAAACTTAGGAACTCTGCCAGACTTTGAATTTCCTAGTTATCTAGGTTGAATAGTAGAAGGAATATTATTTTCAAGCTTATTCCTTTGCCTTTTTAAGTTGTTTTAATAGGCCGGACATGGTGGCTCACACCTGTAATCCCAGGATTTTCGGAGGCCAAGGCAAAAGATCACTTGAGGCCAGGAGTTTGAGACCAATCTAGACAACATAGCAAGTCCTTGTCTCTACAAAAAAAATTAAAAAATTAGCCAGGAAGGTGGCACGCACCTTTAGCCCCAGCTACGTGGGGGGCTGAGGCAGGAGGATCGCTTGAGCCCAGGAGTTTGAGGTTACAATGAGCTGTGATCACGCTGCTACATCCCAGCCTGGCCTATCTTTTATGATTGACCTTTGTGACTGTTCATTCTCCTTCTAAAGTTGTATCTCCTGTTCAGTAAGATGTGTGAGTAATACAATATAACCCTCCCAACTGATATTAATAGTTGGTCAATTTTAAAAGGTGGTTGAAGCAGAAAATCATAAAAATGAGAAATTCTTCAAGTATTAAATTTTAATACAAAACATATAAACGTGTATGCATTTGATGTAGACAAGTGTGTCTATGAGTGTACTGATTTGAGTTCCAAGTCATCTTATTTCCATAAGCTATATCCAAATGCATTGTCTTTGGTTTCTGGTTTTATTTTCTGTAAGTTAGAACTAGAATGCATGTATTCGAAAAGTAGCTGGAATAGATAATCCTTACTTTTAGGATTAACTTGCCCATACCTATATCAAAAGTAGTTTTTTTGTTTTTGTTTTTGAGACAGAGTCTCACTTTGTTGCCCTGGCTAGAGTGAGTGCCGTGGCCTCAGCCTAGCTCACAGCAACCTCAAACTCCTGGGCTCAAGCAATCCTTCTGCCTCAGCCTCCCAAGTAGCTGGGACTACAGGCATGCATCACCTTGCCCGGCTAATTTTTTCTATATATATATTTTTAGTTGTCCAGATCGTTTCTTTCTATTCTTTTTGGTAGAGACGGGGTCTTGCTCTTGCTCAGGCTGATCTCAAACTCCTGACCTTGAGCGATCCACCCGCCTCGGCCTCCCAGAGTGCTAGGATTACAGGCATGAGCCACCGTGCCTGGCCCAAAAGTAGTTTTTTAAGAGCTCACGTTTAGTGCTTTCCAAAGCATAACTCCTGCATTTATATCTTATCTGTTGATATAATATTTAATTAAATTTTGTGAACACAATAACAAGAACAATATCATTAGTGGTGTAGAAACAACCACAGCTGACTCTCAGCAAACATGCAGCTACATGGCTGGGAGCAAAGGGACATAGAGAGTAGCTTGTGGCTTCCAGTGCTTAGCGTGCTGTGGGCTTCACTTCACATGTTTTGCAGAGGGGATGCATGGTAACATGGTGAATCGCTTTAGTGGGGGCCTATTTAGAGAGCTGCTATTATGTTCATAATAAAAATACTTTGCCTATATTTAATTGGGCTATGTTATATAGCTAAAAGAGTAAAACACCAAGACAAACTTATAGGTTTTTGACATTATCATTTAAGAGAGGACATGTTGAAGCTTGCAAATCAGTACCCACCTCTGCCCTTTTAGATAGTATTGTTAATTTTTTTTTTTGAGATGAGGTCTCACTGTGTTGCCCAGGCTAGCCTCAAACTCCTGGGCTCAAGCGATCCTCCTTCCTCAGCCTCCTGAGTAACTGGGACTACAAGTATGTGCCACTGCACCTGGCTTAATGATTATCATTAGCTCTTTAGAGGTGTGGGATCTTAATGATGTACCAGATTCTAGACCTAGAATGTATAGAGAAAGCAAAATCTTAGTGTAAAATAATGGATTATGTCGAAGTATATCAAGTGTAATAAAAGTAATCTCACTGAATATTTTTCTTTTTATTTTTCTAGGCAATCGATAGCATTCATCAAGTGGGGGTTTATTGTCTTGCTCTGGTGCCTGCCAATACGTTGCCAAAAACTCCACTAGGAGGGATCCATATATCTCAGACGAAACAGCTCTTTCTGGAGGGATCTCTACATCCTTGCAATATCCTCATGTGCCCACACACATGTGTGACAAATTTGCCAAAACCCCGGCAGAAGCAACCAGGTAATGTGCTAGCTTCCAACACATCGCATCAAAATTGTAACTTCAAAAAGCTGAGTGCTCCTGGCATGATTCTTTCTCTAGAATTAGACTTTACAAAGATTAGTAATACAAGAATAGCATCAACTGACGAAAAGCAAGAATTGAGACCCTGCAGAATAGGCTTGTTTGAGTGTACTGCTATTTCCCTCTTGTGAGTAATTCTCAGTGGTCTGCCTCCATTTCCCTGGATATGAGGTATAACTCAAGATGATCAGAGTCCCACTTGTACTTGCTGTGTGTTACTGATCAAGAAATGTATAAAAAAAGATATTAAACATATTACCTGTTTAAGCATATGATAGACATGTAAAAACACACAAATCCTTTATTTCAAATCCTGTTACACTGAAGTCCTACATTCATTTGTCATATGAGTAAAATCCTATTTTAAATAGCATTTAATCTAGGATCCTTATAACAAAACATTCATGTTATAGTAGTTATTTAAAAGATATTGCCTAGAGACATAGCAGATTCTTAGAATAGGGCTTTTGCATTTAACAATTCTATTAAGTGATAAAATCCATACAAAATATTTATTCCTAAGCCCCCAAAGGTATAACATCCATTTCATCTTACATAATAAAAGCATTATGTTTGGATTTACTGTTTTTGCTTTCTCTTATGATGGCCTGCTAAGATCTTAGTTGGTTGCATATGAGTAGTACCAAAGCAGTTTGAAAATGATGGTATAGACAAGGGTGGAGATGGTGAGGGAATAGCATGAGAGTTTAGTGTTTAAGAAGAATACAGGAAGGTGGAGAGGTAAGGAGTGAGGTATGAAAGGAAAGGAGAGGAAAAGGAAGATGGAAAAGATGTTAAGGCAGCCTAGAGGCAAAGTCTCCTTGAGATGCCTGTTGGAGCTGTTGTGGAAAGAATGAGAATATATTAGTTAGGGCTGGTCTTGCCTGAAAGTTGCAGAAAAACAGCTGGGCGTGGTGGCTCACACCTGTAATCCTAGCACTCTGGGAGGCCGAGGTGGGTGGGTCGTTTGAGCTCAGGAGTTCGAGACCAGCCTGAGCAAGAGCGAGACCCTGTCTCTACTAAAAAAAATAGAAAGAAATTAGCTGGACAACTAAAAATATATATATAGAAAAAATTAGCCGGGCATGGTGGCGCATGCCTGTAGTCCCAGCTACTCGGCAGGCTGAGGCAGGAGGATCACTTGAGCCCAGGAGTTTGAGGTTGCTGTGAGCTAGGCTGACGCCACAGCACTCTAGCCTGGGGAACAGAGTGAGACTCTGTCTCAAAAAAAAAAAGAAAGTTTCAGGAAAACATAATACCAGCTTAAACAAGAAACAGGTTTATTTATTTATTTATTTTTTTGAGATAAAAGAGATTCAGAGCTAGGCAGTCCAGGGCTAGGTGATCGTGCAATCATGTTCTTCCACCTTCTCATCTTTTTGCCCTAGTGTTTTATAAATCAACTATCATTATAGATATGTACATAACAGATGACCCTAAAATTCAGTGCCTTGAAATAACAAGCATTTATTTTTCACTCATGGAATGTGGATCTGCTTGGCTTGGCTGGGATCAGCTGGACTTGACTTGGCTCCAGCCTGGAGGTTAGGTTCCAAACTGTTCCATGTGCCTCCTCATCACGGGACCAGCAGCTACCTGGGCCATATTTTTCTCAAGGCAGATGGCAAAAGCAAGAAAGCAAGCCAAACCACACTAGCATATTTCAAGCTCCTGTTTGTGTCATGTCTCTTAACATTTCATTGTCCAAAACAAGTCAGACCAGCCCAAAGTCAGGGGCACAGAGAATTATACTCCTCCCATCTAACTACAGCTAGGGCAGGAAGGAAAGGAAGGATTGTGAGAAAATAAAACAATCTACCACAATCATCTTTAGCATACTGCCTCAGAGCCCAGCTAGCAGGTAGGAGGAAAAGGTAAAGAAGATAATATCCTTCCCTTTAAACATAGTTTCTAGAAATTGCACATATTACTTCCTCTTAACATATTTTTCTCCCATACTATTAATATGTGTAGTCTTAATTCTGGGTACATGTCTAGCTAAAAACTAGGGATTCTGTTGTTAAGGAAGAAGAGAATAGATATTAGAATTGATAACTGGCGGTTTTTGCCACAAGAAATTTACAGAGTTTTGTGGGGAAAAATAAGAAGGCGTATTTACAGGTACAGCAATGTCTGCAGTTAGCCTCCTGGAGTTACTGCTTTCAGTATTTTTCAATCTCTGTGACCCATAGACTCAAGAAATGCACACAAAACAACCTCAAGAAAATGCTGCTGAATTATTTTTGTTGTTTTAAACTACTCTGCAAAATCGACTTTTTAAAATGTAATGCCTTTATCAGTTTTACAGTGTGAATGCAGAATTGGACCGTTTACACAATTAAATACACTCGGAGTCCCTGCCTGTATAAAAGGCTATCTCCAACATGACATATCTAACTTATTCAGCTTCTTAGGAAAGAATGTTGCATATTATACTTAAAAATCACAGTATACACATGTTGACTAAAAGTATTCAGCAGTCAGTATGTTGGAATACTTTATCTTTTTTTGAGTTCTTTATTTGATTTTTAAATTTTTAAAACTTTTCATTTTGAAATGATTTCACACTTACAAAAAAGTTGCCAAATGGTACAAAGAATTCCCTTATATCCTGTACCCAGCTTCCCCAAATATTTATCCTTTTAAAAGTGATTATCAGCTGTGGGAGATGGCTCATACCCATAATCCCAGCACTTTGGGAGGTCGAGGTGAGAGGATCACTTGAGGCTAAGAATTTGAGATCAGCCTAGACAATGTAGCGAGTCTCTGTCTTTACAAACAAAAAAAACCCCAAAGCGATTATATGACTTAAATGATTTTGCTTCATCTGTTTCAGCATATTCAGGATCAACAGATTTTGGCAGTAGAAGATATTTAATATTGATCCAGTGTAGCATCAACATTGTTCAAAACCCAGCTGACAATAAGTTTTTTTTTGTTATCTTTTTGCCATTTTCTTAGTTCCATAAGGTGGGATCTTAATCTTTAAGTGACCATCAAGAAAGGTGTACAGCACCTGTAGCACTTTTTTCTTGAGAGAGGAGGGCTTTCCCTATTTATTTGCAAGTGTCAAACCTATGGAAAAATTGGAAGGATAGTACAGTGAGCAGCAGTCATGTATCTTCCCCTAGATTCACTAATTGCTGACATTTTTTCACTGAGCTCTTTTAAAGCAAATTGCAGACGTCATGGCACCTTACCCTAAAGTATTTCAGACGTATATTTCTAAAGAACAAAAACATTTTCTTAAAATTTTCCTAATCAACCACAATGCCATTATCCTATTAAGAAATATAACTTATATAATACTATCACCTAATAATAAACAGTTCATATTCAGATTTTTCTACTTGTTTATTATAGCTGATTTTTAAAAAGTCCAGTATCCAATCAAGATCATGAATTGCATTTGGCTGTCATGTCCTTTAATTTAGAAGCTCCCAGCCTAATTTTTTCTTGAAGATATGGACGATTTTAAAGAGTCCAGGCCAGTTATTTTGTAGACTGTCCCACAATCTGGATTTCATTACTCACTTTGAATAGAGCACTTTCTGATATCCCTGATAAACTCACTCTCAATCCTCATAGATGGCAAATTTCTTTCCAGACCAGATATTTATTACTTAACGCCCCTTTTAGAGGTGGATCATAATTGGAGCAGATGAAATTATTTATAGTGGGAACTAGTGCAACCAGCTGTCACTTCCTCAGAGTGAAAACTTCCTGTATACCCAAGCTATGGTAGCCTGCCTTCTCCCCTCCATCCCCAACGCCTCTCTCACGTGGTCCTGTTTTGTTTTTTTCTAGCACTTCCCACTATCTGAGTTTGTGTATTTGTATATGTACTCTTGATTGCCTTTCTCTACTAGACTACAAACTCTGTCCTATTGGCTGCTGTGTTCCCAGTGCCTAGAAGAGTGCTCAGTCAGTATTATTGAATAACATTTGAGCCAGTCTGGAAATGCTTTGGGGATACATAGCTTGAATTGCCATCTCCAGAGAGTTGGTTTTTGCCTTTGTTTACAGGTGTAGGCCCTGCTTCTGTGATGGTTGGGAATCTGGTTGCTGGAAAGCGCATAGCACAAGCTGCTGGAAGGGATCTGGGGCAAATTGAAGAGAATGATTTGGTGAGGAAGGTAAGTGTCCTAGAATTGTTGACTACTTACAAACAAGTCAAGGACAGAACTTACACTTCAGGTAGCAGACGGGGGATGCGTTATATAACTTTTTAAAAGTTGCTGAGCCTGAATCTTTTTTCTGCCTTGTGATTTCAGCACCAGTTTCTGGCAGAGATTTTACAGTGGCGAGCCCAGGCAACTCCTGACCATGTACTCTTCATGCTGTTAAATGCCAAGGTATTAAATATTCACTTGTATGTCTAATCAGCTCAATGCTGTGGGAGTATTTTAGGCATTCTTGATATCTTTCATCAGAAAATTTCCATTGCCACCTCTGAGGAAGGAGTTACTGCTTTCTCTTTGTTTCGACATAGGATAAACTATGCAATCACTATAAGGTTGCAATGAGACCTCCAGGAGTGTTATTTAATGCTGTTTTTTTCTTATGTTACAATCAAATCTTCTTTATTTGGTTCTAATAGGAGCAGTGGGGCCAAGAATGCAATTATTATAGATATACAAATGTGTGGAATGCATTGTCATAAAGTTTTTTACCCAGTGGACTTTTAATTCTTTGATTTCTGCCAGGAAGAAAATGACTTTAGACCAACATTTTAAAAACCTAAGTTATTTTTAGTGCATACTTAAATGATTTATTGCTAACAGATAAAAAGCAAATTGAAAATTATTTAGGAGTATATTTAACTACTGGTTTCTAATGGTTGGTCTGCTGTAATATTATATTTTTTAAGTTATGCATTCTGTGGAAGTCTGTTGAGTTTTGTTTTAATGGCTGAGTCACAGGCTCACAGTACTGTGACCATGTGGATAGCAGTATTTCCCACCAGCAAGAATAAGACTGGGAGGGCCTATTGGACCTCATTAGAGGACTTATCCGAGTTGCCCCCATCTGCCCTAGTCCTCTTAGAATCTGATTTTTTTAAAGAATTTATACAATGATAGAACTTAATAAGAGGAAGGTACTTTGCATCTTAGTGAAAAGTCATTAAAAACTGTAAGAACCACTGCTTTAATGATAGAAAACTTTGAGACTTCCTTGCTCTACCTCTACATGAAGTGGGCTCTTATAAGCCCATGGATTCATTAAGGTCCTTACATTTCATTCAGCAGATGTCAGTCCAGCTTCCCCATATCACTACCAGGCTGGCCATGGTTAAAGTTATGGCTCTGTGACATCCATACCCTAGATATCTGTTCAGGAGCGTAAGTTTAAGTTTGCTTCATGGCTAGAGAAGTAAGATATGTGAATGACTGCCTAAAGGACATGTAGTCCATTTATTATTCTTTATATTCTAGTATTTCACCTTGGAGTGGCCCGGACCACCAGAAAGCTCAGTAACCATACAGCATTGTTCCCTCATGCCCAGAACATTGTTTTTACTGAACTTTAGTTCGCTGCTGTACCATTGACCAAAAAAGAGGAAAGTTATAAAAAAAAATGGCTTTATGAATTTAACCCTGACTTTAGCCAAAGGGATATTTCTTTTAGTGTTAAAGTAGTTCCCCCTTATCCATGGGGGTTACATCCAAGACCCCCAGAGGACAACTGAAACTGCAGATAGTACTGGACCCTATATATACTGCTTTTTCCTATATGTACATACCTATAATCAAGTTTAATTTATAAATTAGCACAGTAAGAGATTAACAGCAGTAGCTAACAATAAAATAGAGCAATTATAACAATAAACTGTAATAAAAGTTATATGAATGTGGTCTTTCTCTCTGTCAGAATATCTTAGTGTACCGTACTCACCTACTTTCAGACCATGGTTGACATGGGTAACTGAAACTACAGAAGGCAAAAGCAGGGATAACCTGGTTACTGTATAACCTTAGCGTCTAACAATAGACAATTAGCTAAATTAGTTATGCATATAAACATAATAAAATGCTATGCAACCATTCACAAAAATGTTGTAGAAGAGTATTTGATGACCCAGAAAATATTCATCATGTAAAAGTAGGAAAAATAGGATATAGAACTTTAACAATTGAGTATTTAGTGAAGACCCTATTCTAGGTGCTTTACATTTCATAGTTTATTTTAAGGTTGAGGAAACTGAGGCATGGAGATGACAGAGCCAGTAAGTAGTAAAGCTAGGAAACTGTCTCTTTACTTTTATTTGAACCCAAGCAGACTTTAGAGCCCACATTCTTAACCAACATATTAATACTACATAGCCTCTCACAGATGACATAGTATGATACCATTTTTGTTTTATTTTTAAGAAGTGTTGCAGCTGGGTGCGGTGGCTCGCACCTGTAGTCCTGGCACTTTGGGAGGTGGAGGTGGGAGGATTGCTTGAGGCCAGGAGTTCGAGACCAGCCTGAGCAAGAGCCAAGACCCTGTCTCTACAAAAAAAATAGAAAAATTAGCCAGGCATGTTGGTGTGCACCTGTAGTCCCAGCTACTCAGGAGGCTGACACCACTGCACTCTAGCCTGGGTGACAGAGTGAGACTGGGTCTCAAAAAAAAAAAAATGTTGCATGTGAATTTATATATAATAGATACTCATATTTAAAAGACCAGGCAAATAATACACTGAAATGTTAATAGTGGTTACATTTTAGCAGAAGAATTATATTTACTTATCTATATTTTCCAAATTTTCTATGCTGAACATGTGCTATATTCTATTGAGATAAAAGTTATTTTTTAAAAGAAATAGCTCAGTAAAACTTGTGTTTATTGGGACATTTTTATGAGTTTAACATTATTGAGGTAGTGTGGTGTTGGCATGATAGACAAAGAACAACCATCTGCAGTACGATTTGGCACTATCCAGTAAAGTGAAGACTGGCAACCCAGTGGCCCAGAAATTTCATTTCTAGGTCTTTACTCTATCAAAACTCATATAAATGCACCAGGATACATGTACAAGAATGACAGTGTCTGTTAGCAGTAGAATGGATGAATAAATTGCTGCATGTTCGTACAATGAAATACTATACAACAACAAACACAAATGAACTACATCTACACACAGCAGCATAGATGAACTCTTAAAATAATGTTGAAAGAAAGAAACAAGCACAAAAGAGTATATATGTTACCATTCCATTTGTGCAAAACTTAAAAATCTCATGGGTGGTAAAATGACAAAGAAAAAGAAATCAGTGGTAGCATAAAAATGTCCAGATAGTGGTTACTTATGGAGGGATAGAGAAGGCTGTGAGTAGGGAGCCCTGTGGGTGCTTTGGAGCCGCTAGAGGAGATCTTTTTTATGTTACACTAGTTCTTACACGGACACTTGCTTTATAATTTTTCATGAAGCTACATACATGTAAGTTTCCCTTATATGTGTTGTATTTTACAAAGGAAGGGGGTTCAAACAAGGCCCAGCTCAGGGAACTTTATGGAGACTCACAGGAGAAATTATTCTCAGGATTGGGAATAGTTGGCCATTTTCTTATCTCCTGATCTTTATTAGCTAGTGGGCTCTGATTCATTACTACTGTTTTTGTTTATATCTTTGCTGTTAGAAAATTCAGAGCCAAATTTGTGTTGTTTTATGCACAGCAAATGTACATGATCACATGGCCAGCATTTACTGTCCTGACCTCACTGCTGCCCTCATGCTAGTTTTTTTTTGTTGGTTTTTTTTTTTTTTTTTTTTAGAAACAGTCTTGCTCTGTCATCCTGGCTAGAGTGCAGTGGCATCATCATAGCTCACTGTAGCCTCAAACTCCTGGGCTCAAGCGATCCTCCTGCTTCAGCCTCCTGAGTAGCTGGGACTACAGGCATGTGCCACCGTGCCCAGCTAAGTTTTGTATTTTTTGTAGAGACTGAGTCCATCTCTTGCTCAGACTGGTCTCAAAATCCTGACCTCAAGCAATCCTCCCACCTCAGCCTCCCAGAGTGCTAGGATTATAGGCGTGAGCCACTGCACCCGGCCTCTACCTTAAGAAAAACTATAAATTTAAATATGTTTGATTTAAATGAATGTAAATATTCCGTAAGTACCTTAATTCCCTAAGATAGTAAGAAAGAAAAAGAATCCCACACTTGTCTTTTGATGGTAGGGGAATTTTCACTAGAATTGTTAACTTGCTAGGATAATCTGCCAAGGCACAAGCCTTTCAGGTATGATGTCTAATTGGCTGTACTTGTTACTATTTGTTTCCTTGCTGAGCTTTGACTTGTTTATCCTTTCTCTTGTTTTAAGGGAACTACTGTGTGCACAGCCAGCTGCCTTCAGCTTCATAAGCGAGCAGAGAGGATTGCATCAGTTCTTGGTGATAAGGGACATCTAAATGCAGGAGATAATGTGGTGTTGCTCTATCCACCTGGTAAGTGTTGGATTTATAGACTAGACTTCAAGCCCCATTACTAGAGTACAACCTGTAAGAGAACAGAAACCTTGTGGGTTGTGTACTTCCAACACTGAGAGCACTATGCTCATAGGCTAAGGTGGGAACCAAGCCTCACTCCTCAAGTTGTGCAATACAATGGCTCTGCTGGGACAATGTCTATTTTATTTACTCTTATATTTCTATTATCAGCTCCTGGCACATAAAACATTGAATAAACGAAGACTTCAGCTACCTGACTTTTGGAAACCCTCAAAACAGTTGCTTTGTTTCTAGGAGCATTCAGAAATGGGACCATTTCATGCAGTTTCTAAAAGAACATTGTGCATAAACTCTGTTGACTTAACATTTTTCATATCATGGTTGATGTTTAATATTTCTCTGGCATTGCTGCCTTCATCTTTCATGTTCTAATTTATTTATTTTTAAATCAACACTTATATTAATGAGATATTTCATGTTATTTTTCCTCATACTCAGTACTTTTTTTTTTTTTTTTTTTTGAGACTAGGTCTCACTATGTTACCAAGGTTAGTCTCAAACTCCTGGGCTCAAAGGATCCTTCCCACCTCAGCCTCCCAAGGAGCTGGGCCTACAGGGCACACCACAGTGCCTTGCTCATGTTCTAATTTAATTCAACAACCTTCCCTTCATAGTAAGAGGGACTCAGAATTATCTGGTGACAGTTTGGTGAAAAGATTCAAAATTTTAGGTGACATGTTTGAATTGTCCCTCCCTTTACTCCTTCTGCCATCTGACCCTGTGGTCCCCAACTCCCGGGGCACAGACTATTACTGGTCCGTGACCTGTTAGGAACCGGACCGCAGGAAGTGAGCAGAGGGTGAGTGAAGCTTCATCTGTACTTACAGCTGCTCCCCATCGCTTGCATCACTGTGCAAGCTCTGTCTCCTGTCACATCAGCAGCAACATTAGATTCTCACAGGAGCACAAACGCTATTGCAAACTGTGCATGCGAGGGATCTAGGTTGCACACTCCTTTTGAGAATCTAATGCCTGATCTGAGATGGAGCTGAGGCAGTGGTGCTAGCTCTGGGGAGTGGCTGCAAATACAGATTATCATTAGCAGAGAGGTTTGACTGCACAATAAATGTAATGCACTTGAATCATCCCAGAACCATCCCCCACCCTGCGGCCCGTGGAAAAATTGTCTTCCGTGAAACCAGTCTCTGGTGCCAAAAAAGCTGGGGACCGCTGATCTAACCCACTCATACATCTATCCTTCTTTGGTCTTTTATCCCCCTTACTTCATTCATTTTATTCCCTTTAATTTTCCTCTACTCTTATTTCCTCACTGTGAAATAAGAATAGTCCATAATTGTTACTAAGCTGTTTTATTTACATGGATACTAAGATTTCTTAGAAGATCATCTCATATAGAAATCCCTCCTACCACATTCCTGTGAGAATGTCTTGCACCTCACACTTAATGATGTGGTGGTAGACCAGCACACTCCCTGAGGAGGCCCCTCCCCCTAAAGTTTTCTTCGTATTGAGTCATACTTTGCCTCCTTAAAACTCATAACCACTGACATCTCAGAAGTTTCATTGCTTTTCATATTCCTCTAAATATTTAAAGAGAGCTCAGGTGTTCCTTATCACTTACTTTTTCTTTATTTTCCTAATTAGCCATCCCTGATTTCTACAGTTTTCTTCTAAGTAATATTAAGTAATAATATCAAAATATCTTCTTCAGGCTACTTCTAATTTCCTTCCTTGTTATTTGTTCTTTTTTTTTTTTTTTTTTTTTTTTTTTTTTGAGACACAGTCTCACTGTGTTACCCGGGCTAGAGTGCCGTGGCATCAGCCTAGCTCACAGCAACCTCAAACTCCTGGGCTCAAGCAATCCTCCTGCCTCAGCCTCCCAAGTAGCTGGAACTACAGGCATGCGCCACCATGCCCGGCTAATTTTTTTCTATGTATTTTTAATTGTCCATTTAATTTCTTTCTATTTTGGTAGAGACGGGTTCTCGCTGTTGCTCAGGCTGGTATCGAACTCCTGAGCTCAAACAATCCTCCTGCCTCGGCCTCCCAGAGAGCTAGGATTACAGGCATGAGCCACCGCGCCCGGCCTCCTTCTAAATTTTTAAAATGTCTTCAGCTGGTGTCTCTGTTAAATTATGGTCTGAATAACCCACCTACCACATGATTTAATAAACTGGCTTTGGAAGATCTGCCTGTTAGTTTCTCAGTGGTACAGGTAATGCTGCGGCTGTCCTGACAAGCAGGGTCATCTGTCTTGTAGGCATTGAGTTAATTGCTGCCTTCTACGGCTGCCTGTATGCGGGGTGCATACCAGTGACTGTCCGACCTCCTCACGCTCAGAACCTTACTGCCACGTTACCCACTGTGCGTATGATTGTCGATGTAAGTACCAGGTATATCTTGCCTTGTCCTCATCTCATACATTCCAGATTCGGACAACTAAGGATGCTCACTAACTTTCCAGTTTTGTTGAGTCAGGAAGTCAAATTTGTCTCCTGAAAACCACCTCCTTTTCCTTAATGTGGCCAAAGCAACCATCTTTATTCAGTGAAGAAACTAGGGGAAAGTGGTTATGGGTGAGCTAGAGCTGCAGTTCCCAACCCCCTAGGCCACGGCCTGGTACTGGTCCATGGCCTGTTAGGGACCAGGCCGAGCATCACCGCCTGAGCCCTGCACCCCCCTTTCCATGGAAAAATGGAAAAATTGTCTTCCATGAAACTTAGGAACTGGGCAGCACAGCAGGAGGTGAGCAGCAGGCAAGTGAGAGAAGCTTCATCTGTATTTACAGCTGCTCCCCATCACTCACATCACCGCCTGAACTCCGCCTTGTCCCCCACCTCCAATCCGTGGAAAAATTGTCTTCCCTGAAACCGGGCCCTTGTGCCAAAAAGGTTGGGAACTGTTTTTTTTTTTTTTTTGAGACAAAGTCTCACTGTGTTGCCCTGGCTAGAGTGCCGTGGCGTCAGCCTAGCTCACAGCAACCTCAAACTCCTGGGCTCAAGCGATCCTCCTGCCTCAGCCTCCCGAGTAGCTGGGACTACAGGCATGCGCCACCATGCCCGGCTAATTTTTTCTATGTATGTTTAGTTGTCCGATTGATTTCTTTCTATTTTTAGTAGAGACGAGGTCTCACTCTTGCTCAGGCTGGTTTCGAACTCCTGAGCTCAAACAATCCGCCTGCCTCGGCCTCCCAGAGAGCTAGGATTACAGGCGTGAGCCACCGCGCCCGGCCATGGGAACTGTTGAGCTAGAGCATTTCATGCATTTATCATGAACATTAAGGAGATGATGTGGTCATTAGTAATTCTTCATAGAATGTCTTTTTCCCCCCTTCTTAAAACATGCCATCTGTCTTGATATTTTTTTTTCCACAGTAACCAAGATGATATTATGTGCCAAACTCTGAATTCTCCTCAGTGTCAGGTCACTTTTGTTTCAATTAATTTTGTAAATTCACTTGGTATAGCATTAAAAGGTATCTAAACCTTGCTCTGGAGGTGATAGAAGTTTTTACAGGATCTGAGAATTGAAGAAAATGAAATAAGTGCGTATTGCATCACATCCGAATGTACTTTAAAACAAAGGGCAGCCTTGGCCAGTGTACTGATAGATTACAAAATTCCAATTTACGTAACATTTGCTTCTCTGAGAACTGCTGCTCTGTCAGCAACTTGAGCCCACAGCATAAAAGCCATATTCACCATAGATGATTTTATTACAAAGTTTAATTCAGCAAAGTGCCCTCGTTATGCTCTATAAAGTGGGCCAGGAAAGTAGGGAGGGGAGTTTCTTTCTGTTGTCGCAGTTTGTGGGCAAAGTAGGTCACTTTGCATTTCTGTGTGTATCCAGGTAGGAGGACTTAGTTTCTGTGAGAGTTTATAGCCACACCAGGGCTCCGCAGATTCAGTGTGTGTTTTAGGTCTAGTAAGTCTCACCATTCACTAGATGGTTGCAAACACTAACTCCTTCAAACGTGATTATCTGATTCCTCTCATTCCTTGGGCACTACATAATCCATGTCTTTATTTTATTGTGGTCTCCATGAAATCATGGGATAGTGAAACCTATGCTGAGATTATAACTATGAAATATTCGAGAATTACTATTGTAAATGATAACTTGTGTTGTGAACAAGTCCATCATTCTGAGATAATTAAGTGATACACATTTCCAGAAGGAAAAATGCAAGAGAAAACAACCACCTCCTTTCTGCTATATGTGTTTTTTGAAAAATCGATAGTACCCTGTCTGGTACGGTGTGTGAGCCTGTGATGCTGCATCAGGGCTAAGCCTCTTGGTGCTTATTGCTGTCCATTTGTTTTATAGGTCAGCAAAGCAGCCTGTATTCTCACCACTCAGACCCTAATGAGGCTACTGAGGTCTCGAGAGGCGGCAGCAGCTGTGGATGTGAAAACCTGGCCGACCATCATTGACACAGGTGAAGGGAGATTGCTCTCGAGCTGTTTAGGAAGCAAGAACATGTACTACCTGAGATTACCTACATTCCCATGGAAAATGTGTTTACCCTGCTTTTATGTCACAACACATTCTGCTTGCTAAGACAGAGGCAAAGCCTACCATCAGTCAAGCTTATGCTAGCACAGGACTGGACACTGTGTCAGCCAGATGCAAAGAACCAGATCACAACATGCTAAGAGCTCTTTAAATAAAAAGTGTCTTGCTGTTGGCTTGGTATCATCTAAAGGCGGTTAGGTTTTTGTGCTGGGTGTGACCATGTACATGTAGGGCCAAATAAAATATTGAGATGATCTGATCTTTCAATTCTAGATGTGATATTGCTGAAACAACATTGGACTAGGAGTCAGAAGACCTGGGTTCTACTTTGAGCTTCATTACTCATTGCCTGTATAACTTTGTATGAGATTACCCTTTCCTAAGCTACTGCCTACCCCTACCACATTTTTTTTTTTTTTTAGAGATGAGGTTTTGCTGTGTTACCCAGGCTGGAATGCAGTGGTGCAATCACAGCTCACTGCAACCTTGAACTCCTAGGCTCAAGTGATCTTCTTGAGTATCTGGGACTACAGGGGCACACCACCAGCCTAGCCAAGTTTTTTCTTTTCTTTTTTTTTTTTTTTTTTGAGATAGGGTCTTGCTGTGTTGCCCAGGCTGGTCTGGAACTCCAGGCCTCAGGCAATCCTCCTGCCTCAGCCTCTCAAGTAACTGAGATTACAGGCACTAGCCACTGCACCATATTTATTGAGAAGATCAAATACAATATAATGTGAAAATACTGTACTTTGAAAACCACAAAGTGCATGAATTTTAGATGATATTTATGTTAAAGAAGTGGGGTAAGACACAGGGCTATCTGGAGGATCCATGACAAAGAGAAGAGTGTGGGTTTTGAGTTAAGCAGAGGGGTTTAAATCCTGGCATATCTGCGACTCTCTGAGCATCCTTACTAACCTGGGCAAAACTGTCGGTTGGATGTAAAGAGTAAACCATGTAATGTAATCATAATGATAGCTTCTAAATGTTATTGAGCCCTTATGATGCCAGTCATTTAACATGTGTTACCTAATTTTATCCTTACAACAACCCTATTAAATAGATGCTATTTTTATCCTCATTTGGCAGATTAGAAAACTGAGGCACAGGGAAGTCAAGTAAGCAGCAGAAGTGAAACTCAAACCTAGCCAGATAGGCTCCATTCCTGGCCTCTTTACCCATTCATTTCCTCCTGACCTTTTTTCACTAAGTACCATATAGCATCCACTTCAGCAACATTCATGTGGATTCAAATGCAGGGATGGCATGTATTTGTGGTTATTGTGTGCCAGGTGCTAAGTAGATTTTTTTGTATTTGTTACTTAAGGACAGAAGCACAGTCACAGATAATATATAAACAAACGGATCGTGTTAGTGTTAATGGTGCCAGTAGATGTACTTTGGTTAATGGACTCAATCACATTTCAGGAAGACCTGGAATGTAGACTGTGGTAAAGACAATAGGAAGCTTTCTTTAGGCACATAAGGGTTATATGAGTGACCCTGCTCTGCACAAAGGTAGGTGGGAGATGATAGAGAAAATCTTTAGTTTGACCAGAAATGGGTACCCAATGACATGGAGATTTAAAACTCAGAGTTAGAATTGCTTCTTGATCCAGAAAGCCAAAGGAGCCATTGAAGAGGCATGGTTGGGGTGAGAGAAATCCTGGACATCCTTGGTTTTGACAAACTTACAAAGCAAATTTGGGAGGGAAGGAAGAGGTATTATAAATTTATGAGTACAAGAAAATAACTCCCAGTTCTAGATTACCATTCTTAAAAATCTACCACATTAACTTAGAGAAAAATTTTCTAACTTTTACAGCCACCCATGATTAACATAACATATACTAAACTGTAAATAATGAACTTTAACTTAAAACCAGCATAGTAACAACAACTAATGCTTTTCGAGCATTTACTTGGTCAGTTGTTGTTTTAAAAGTACTTTATAGGGATAAACTTCCTGACCATTCTGCGAGGTATTATTTTAAAGATCCATTTTAGGGTTAGGGTTATGGTTTTCTGTTTTAGAGAAAAGGAAAACAGACACAAAGAAGCGAAAGCATCACTGATAGACAGTAGCACTGGGATTGGAACTGCAGCAGCCTACTTCCTACTGTTGTATATTACTCCTTACTAAACTTCTATTAAATAAATTACCTGATACAGATTTGCTTGCTTATCTTGTCTAGTGGTGTCCTCAACCCCAGTCCACCTCTAAGAGTGACATACATGAGCTGCTTGGTTAAATACGAGAAGCCTAAGCTTTAGCAAATCCCAGAAGCTAAATTTGGCCATAGGAAAGCCACAGAAAACCCGTGGAAGAGCAATGATTTTCATGTTCCAGCATGTCGGATTGACATCAGGTTTTTCTTTTTGTTTCAGATGATTTACCCAGGAAAAGGTTACCTCAGCTGTATAAACCACCCACTCCTGAGATGCTGGCATATCTTGATTTTAGTGTTTCCACAACTGGCATGCTTACAGGAGTGAAGGTAAAGTAGTCCAGATATATTCACTCATTCAGTGAACGCTGGAAACTTGCCAGCTCTGCAAAATTAGAGATGACCACTACCCCAGGGACTTTAGATGTGGAGGCCAAGTGGGTGTACCAGAGACCAGTAGGCGGAGGATCAAGGGTCCCTGCTATATTTAAATAAAAGCATTGGCTCTTCCGGAATAAGTTATCCCAAGGAATTTTTATTGTGAAGTGTCTGAACCAAGCATAGAAGCTAACAAATAATAAGTATTCTAGTTAAAGTCAGTGTTAAATCACCAGTTCATGTGTCATGAAACTCAGTATTAACTGATAAACAGAAATATGTTACCTTAATTTAGACTTAAATTAGGCTTCAAAGCACTAAAAAGTGTACATCATTTTGAGGAATTTGGGGAGTGGAAACTTCTCCAAGCCATTGTTGGAGCCATTTCTGTGCCTGTGGGATGACAGTTCCATCCTGTTCCATGTTCCTTACTTTCCAGATGTCCCACTCTGCGGTTAATGCTCTTTGCAGAGCCATCAAGCTCCAGTGTGAGTTGTATTCTTCTCGGCAGATCGCCATCTGCCTTGACCCTTACTGTGGACTTGGCTTTGCACTCTGGTGTCTCTGCAGGTAGGGATGGAAAAGCCAAGGAAACAGAATGTATGGGGTGTACTGGGGGCTGTAACCATCTCATCCTTCCCTTTGCTCCCTTAATTGGGTCAAGTTTCTGTAAATGCTGATGTTTCCAGAATTTATGAACCTAATGTATCTGATGTTTGTTTAGTTTTGCCTGTATTCCCTTTTTTCTTTTCTGTTTTATGCCTCATACAAAATGACAGTGATCCTATTACCTGCTCTCTGCTCCATCCTGTAATCCTTGTTTGGAAGCAGAGCCAAGTACAAGGATGATACTTGGGTGAAATATGTCATGCTTTGATAGCCAGAATGTACCCCGTAGACTCGGCAGGAAGGAGTATGATGGGACGGGGTGACAGCATGTGGATGTAGCACATTTGTGCCAGCCAGGTTGCTTCTTGTGGAACACGGATCCTAACTCCTTCTGCTCTCCACCCAGGGAACCTTATCTTAGACCTGCATTTTCACCTCCTTCGTATATATCACAAATGCTAGCAACTCAACATCCTCCTTCTGTATCCCCATCTTTGTTAGGGTAGGATCATCTACCTGGTGGCCCAAACCAGAAACTTGGGCATTATCTTCAACGTGTATATCTTTTAAGTCTCACATCTAATCAAATGTCATGTCCTTTGGCTCAGTTGTTCCTGCACGTATCTTTGTATAAGAATCACCTAGGGGTCTTTAAAAAAACAAAGCAAATTAACAGGGAACTTGCCCAGACTTAACTAACTTAGATCTCCAGAGGTGGAGCCCACAACTCCAGTACTTTTTTAATAGAGGATCCTTGGGCTCCTAGTGATTCTGAGCTATACTTGGGTTTAGGATATTTTAAACTTTGTGACTGTAGATTGGACATAAGATATGTGACTCTGCCATTCCTTCCTTTTTATCCTGGTGCTGCACTGTTGGGCTCAAGTCTCTGTCATCACTCACAGTTGCAGCCTCTCCTAACCATCTCTCAGGCTTCAGTGGCTTGTATCAGTATCTCTAGTCCCTATTCCATGTTGCTAATTTTGCCCCAACTTAAAGCTGCAATGACTGCCTGCTGGGTAAAGTCTAAACTTCTTCATGTGATAGTTAAGCCCTTTCACAGTTTGGCCCTGACCTTTCTGGCCTGACTCCCACATGCACCCCGTGCTCCAGTATTTCACTTGAACACTATTTCTGATGGCCTTAAACACGCCATACTTCTCTGGCTTTGTCTATGCTGTTCCTCTGCCTGCAACACCCTTGCCACCATCCCCACTTCTTCCAGCCTCTGTCAAATTCCTACTCATTCTTCAAGCCCCAGCTCAAGTGTCGCCTACTCAGTGAAAACTACTTCTCCCCCGCCTGGCTTTCCCAGCTTGAATGAATTGCTCTTTATTCTACGATCTCAATGTTCTTTATTCACATCTCAGTTACCACACCTACCACAATCTGCTTTATTTTATAGTTATTGTGTCTTGTGAGTTACACAGGAAACAAGGCTGATTCTTAACCTTTATATCTCATATGACCCTACACTGTCTTTCATGCTCCATAAATATTTGTGGAATTGGTGGTGGTCGAAAGCATAAAGATGTCTAGGATAAATTGATAATGCCAGCTCTTGCCTTTCTTCATTGCAGTGTCTATTCGGGTCACCAGTCCATCTTAATTCCTCCTATGGAGTTAGAAAACAACCTTTTCCTCTGGCTCACTACCGTCAACCAGTATAAAATAAGGGACACTTTCTGCTCCTATTCAGTAATGGAGCTTTGCACTAAAGGACTTGGCAACCAAGTGGAGGTGCTAAAGGTAAGAAGCATCTCTCAGCAGGTAGCCAGTCCCAGGAGGTTTTAAAGAAATGAGCCAGGGCTTGACAGTACCAGGGTTGGGGCTAATAGACTTGTTTGTCTGCCTTTTCCTAGCCAATCAGTTAAATGGGTGTTTTGTAAATATCAGGAAATTTATGTCTTCTACCTTCCCAACTTAATGTACTTTTCTAGAGTTTAACATGATTCTTCATGGAGAAGAAGGTGAAATTGGTTGGGAGGCTAAATGGAAATGATTTTATGTAAAGATAAAAGAGAACTCTGACCCCCAGTAGAGTTTTTCCCCGTAGAATTTGAAACCTCAGAATACTAGAGATTGTGGACTGCCCCGAAGTGGTTCATTCATATGTGTATGAAATGATCATATGTCTGACTGTCATATGAGAAAGTCGAAAAATACTGAATTTTCTTTGATAGAGAAATATGACCTTAAGAGAAAAAAAGAGATTAGTTCTTTAGGGTTCTAAATTTATTTTTCTCTCAGTCCCATCAAATAGGGAGAAATCTAAGGTTCAGAAATGAAGAGGGATAAAAATGTATTGTTGGCCGGGCGCTGTAGCTCACGCCTGTAATCTTAGCTCTCTGGGAGGCCGAGGCGGGCGGATTGTTTGAGCTCAGGAGTTCGAAACCAGCCTGAGCAAGAGCGAGACCCCGTCTCTACTAAAAATAGAAAGAAATTAATTGGACAACTAAAAACATATAGAAAAATTAGCCGGGCATGGTGGCGCATGCCTGTAGTCCCAGCTCCTCGGGAGGCTGAGGCAGGAGGATCACTTGAGCCCAGGAGTTTGAGGTTGCTGTGAGCTAGGATGACGCCACGGCACTCTAGCCAGGGCAACACAGTGAGACTCTGTCTCAAAAAAAAAAAAAAAAAAAAAGTATTGTTGAAGAGCCTAAAATTTTTAGATAAAAGAGGAAAGAAATAGAGAAAGAGCAAATTTACCAGTGGGTGATGCTTTTAATGGAATGCCTTGGCAGTTTCCTCTTTTTTGAAAGCTGCTTTTCTCTGAGAGTCTGAAAAAAAATACACAGTTCCTTTTCCTGACCAAGGAGCTAAGAGCAGTGGCCCTGCGCATTCAATTCTTCTGTGATCTGACTGACTTAGCTCCTGTGCACGGGTGTCTTGCAGACCAGAGGGATCAACCTCTCCTGCATCCGGACCTGCGTGGTGGTGGCAGAGGAGCGGCCCCGAATTACCCTCCAGCAGTCCTTCTCCAAGCTCTTCAAGGACATTGGGCTGTCCCCTCGGGCTGTCAGCACCACATTTGGGTCAAGAGTCAATGTGGCAATATGTTTACAGGTGACCCTCATGAATCTTGTTTACTCACAAACTGGAGAGGGATGTAGAGTGCCCCAGAGCATGTGCTCCGAAGTCAGGCTGCCTGGGCTTGAGCCCCAGCTCCACTTACTTCCACTTTTTATTTGTCTCTGTGTCTCATTTTTGCTCATCAATAAAGGGAAGACAGTGTTACTGTACTTTACAGGGTCATTCTGTGGAATCACTGGGTCGCCTGGAGCAGTCAGTGCTGGAAGCAAGCACCAGTGTCGGTGTTTACTTAGTAGTCATCGCCATGTGGTCCGTGATGATGAGTCAGAAAGATTTTCTGAGCCCTATTTGGATTTTATTTGTACCTGACCTTCTGTTTTTCTGTTTTCCATTTAAAAAAATTTTTTTTTGCAAAGCACAGATAAGCCTGCATTCTCTTGTCCAGCCAAATGGCAACTTTACCAGGTTATTCCTGGTGGGTGAATAACAGAAAAGGGTCTAGAACAGAGTCTACTTTTATGTAGCTTGGAGGCTGATAAGGCAAATACAGGTATGGACAAGAGTGAGAAGGTAGCACACATGGGTGGATGCTTTCAGGTCTTCTCTGACTGCAGTCGGGTGACTTTCAAGAAGCATAATGATGCTTTAACCCTGGAGCCCCCACAATGGGTCCCCTGCTGTCATTTGGGGCCAGTGTTGGTTTTACAAATCCCTGGATGATAGCTTGTCTCATCTGTGCTTTGAGTCTAGGGATGACAACCCTCCTCAGCTTGGCAATGTTTCAGTGCCAATACAGCCCCTGTGATGAGAGAGGGAGGACAGAGGGCCTACTCTCCCAGGGGAGGGAAGGAGAGAACACTAGGATAATGCCAGGCCAGGACTCTCTTCCAGTTGTTGATTCCAACTGTGCTTCACTTTGTTGAAGAGAGAGGGAGCTTTCAAAATAAGAGTTTGGGGCCAGGCGCAGTGGCTCATGTCTGTAATCCTAGCACTTGGGAGGCTGAGGCGGGAGGATTGCTTGAGGCCAGGAGTTCAGGACCAGCCTGGGCAACATAGCAAGACCCTATCTCTACCAAAAAATTAAATTAAATTTTAAAAAAGACAGAATAAAGTTTGGATTTTTTGTGTATATGGCTAAATTATCTATTTGATTTGAAACGTGTAATAGAGAAATATATTTTTTAAAGTTCATTTAAATTTCAAATAAACAATGCATTGATTTATTTTTCTTTAGGGAACCTCAGGGCCTGATCCGACTACTGTGTATGTAGACCTGAAATCATTAAGACATGACAGGTACAGTAGATTTATGCTCATTCCCTAGTGGAGTTCCTAAGTATAAAAAGTTCTGAACCTCCAAGCCAGTGTTCTCTCTCATTTTTTTTATGTTTGTATCTTCTAGGAGGGGTATGGGAAGAGGGAAGGAATTTGTTTTTATCGTTAATACGTAAGAAGACTTACATTTATAAGGAGAAAGCTTTAATTCTCACAGTTGCTGCACTGTTCTTTATTTTTTTTTTTATCTTTTTTCTTTAACCGGCTCCATAAGCAAGATGCACTGTTCTTTGATAATAAAATGTAATACTTAGTTCCTGCTTGTATAAAAGTATTTTGTGACATTTGATATAAATTAAACTAAAATGGATAGTCTCTTTCCTCCAAGAGTTTAAAAATAAAAGATGGGACAGACACGATAAATGAGGCAGAGTAGGGTCTTTGAACAATGTTTTATCTGAACCCCATGGGCAAAAGCCTGCCTCTTCCCTTTCTGCTTAGACAGAAATTTTAGCTGTGTCCTGAGTTGAGCACTGGCCCAAGCCACACTGACTTGAGTGCCTTGAGTGCCCCATAGCACAGACCCAGCCTGCATGGGTGAAGCATCTCATGCAGTGGTCTGAAACCTGGGGAGATTTTGTCCCCCGCAGGACATATGACAATGGCTGGAGACATTTTTGGTTGTCACAAAAGGGGGATTGCTACTGACATCTAGTGGGTAGAGGCCAGAGATGTTGCTAAACACCCTGCAATGCACAGGATACAACCAAAAATTATCTGACCCAAAATATTAGTAGTGCTGAGTTTGAGAAATTGTGCTCCAGTGTGAGGAGGAGAGACAAAGTAGAGGTCTCAGTACTCAGCTGCAGTAGATGTGGTGAATTCATTTTTTAAAAGGCCTATATATAGTAAATATTGTTTTTCTGCAGGGTTCGTCTTGTGGAACGGGGTGCCCCCCAGAGTTTGCTCCTCTCAGAGTCTGGAAAGGTAATTTCTTCTGTTAACCATAGGGAAGGCAGGCTGTGTGGAGAAGTGGTTCAGTGGAAAGAAACCTGAAGCCGTGTAACATATATATATATATATATATTAGTATCTAAAGCTTTATTGAAATCTGGAGATAATTCAACAATTTCAGCTCTGCTAATACTTTCAAATTCATATGGGTAGATAGATAAGAAGATTATTAGATTTGAACTTTTTTAATTCCCATAGATATTTTTTTAAAAAATCCAACTGAAATATTGACAAATCAGCAAAATGCAGTGTTCATATATATGTAAGGTGGGCAGTGGTTTAAGATCAAAATGGAGATGAAATTAAAGATATTCAAGAGTTAACATCTATGGGGATAAGAGTTCTTAGAATAGAATGAGGCTTTAAAATGTCAGAGAAGAGATGTAGTTATGAGTAGCTTACTACAGATGGTAGGACACTAACATGCACTGTCAGGGTAGAGGCAGTCTCTCATCCCTTTGATGAGATAGTGATGATGCCTTAGAATCCCTTCTAGTAATTCTGAAAGACACAGAGATTGGAAAGGTAAAAAAGAATTCTGCCAAGCTGTCCAGTGATGTTTCAACTCCATGGGAGCTAGCTTCAGCTTCACTCTTCCATTTGAACTCTTCACAGTGAGGTTCGGTTGATTTCATTACTGCCTGGTCAAATGTTCGCTTGCCTCAGTCAGAGTCAAGCATGCCTCGAGAGCCAGAGGGAGCAGCCTCTTCTCTGCCCTCCTTGAGGTTTTAGAGGTTTGCACCCAGATGATCATTGTAGGGCTTCTCAGGTAACCTCAGACTTTAGAAACCCAAGATAAAAAGGGGGGTTTCAGTGGGCAGAATGTGGGTAACCAGAGAGGCTTTTCTTTTGTTAGAATGACTGAGCCATTCTCTCAGCCAACATCTGTTTCTTCCTTTTCCCTCCTGAGAAGATCCTGGGCATGTGGTATCTTTCACGATCCCAGGGACGTGGATGTCTCTTCGTTCTCCTGCAAAGCTGCCGCCTTCCTGTCTTAAAAGTTCCTCCAGCTCTAGTGCTAGCTGTGGACTGGAGCACAGTCTCTGCACTGTCCCTCCCTGCTGCCCTCATTTTAAGGGGCTTTACTGCCATCATTGCAGTAAATGAAATAGATCATGGAAGAGGGAAGTTATGTGGTTAGGGTACTCTACAAATTTTTACTGTTATGGTCCTGGTGTGCAGTTTCTCATCCCTTTGAAAAGATGATAGACTGGCTCCCTGTTTTATTTTTGAAGATAAATCTTATTAGACCTTGTCTTCACTCAACTGAGGAAGATTCAGTGAGGGCAAAACAGGTGTCTGCAGTTGTCCCCTCAGGGTGGCCACTGATGGGCAGTTCAGCTAGCTCGTGCCCTTTGTGCCACTCCCACATCTCTAGCAAGTAGCTGCATTTCCGAGGTCGTTAGATTTCATCGAACCCAATCTTTGTGTTTTCCCTTTGATTTTTAGATTTTACCTGGAGTGAAAGTGGTTATTGTGAATCCTGAGACCAAAGGGCCTGTTGGAGACTCTCACCTTGGAGAGGTTTGTATCATTTTCATTTTTACTCTGAAAGGTCAACAGTAAAAAACGATAGGGTTCACATTTTAGAAATCAGTGAAATTGTGGATTTAGTGTTTCTCCCATTGTGAATAGAATTAATCTTTTCCTGTAAGGTATGAGACTGAAATGGGCAGAAGAGGGAGATTGGGATCAAGAGAAGATTTAGGCACCCAAACTAGAAATAGTCCCAGATTTGTCCACTAATACTCCCTTAGCTGGAAAGGAAAATGGGCAAGTCCTAAATATTTCCACCTATTAAAGGGTAGAATTTAATGAGCCACATATTTAAAAATTTTAAAAATCATGCCAATACTGTATTGTTTTCTAAGATGTATCCATTTTTATATTGTTATAAAAATATTCAAAAAGACTTAAATTTTCTTCCCCCAAACCTTTGAAGGACACTGGTGTTTCATCCTGTAGCTTACTGGGAGGAGTATTGTAAGTGCAGGAGCTGGATGACCTGGGCTCTGCCACTTACCAGCTTCTCAGTATGGAGCAAGTTACTTAACCTCTCTGGGCCTCAGTTTCCTCATCCATAAATAATAATAGCACCACCAAGTAGAATCGTTGTGACAGTTAAATGCATTAATACCTGCACCTATAATGCACATGGAACAGTGACATATAATAAATTCTCAGTAAATACTGGCTGTTATTATTACCATTGTTAGCCATTGCTCTGTTTACATTGTAAACTCAAATACCCCGTGGTGTTTCCCTGAGGGCTTTATACCATAGTTATACCTGACGCATGACACAGTCCCTTGATGTATTTGTGGGACTCTGGGAGAACATGAGAAATGAGCCAGGGAGGCAGTGTAGCCTCGTGGTTAAGAGTGTGGTCTCTAGAGACACACAGGCGTGGATGTTGTGAGTCTCCTAGTTCCTGCATCTTAGATGGATTACTTAACTCTTGTTTTCTCATCCGTGAAGTGGGAACAACAATAGTGTGAACTGTATTATCATGTCACACATGCCAGGATTGATAGAGGTTAGGCATGTAAGGTACTTACCTCACTGTTCAGCACATAGTAAACACTTGTTAAATGTCAGATGCTTTTATTATTATAGTTGTGTTGTTAATATAAAAATGAGATTTAAAAAAGTAAAATGATCTGTCCCAGGAGAATTGAATTGATACAATTTCGTGTTCCTGGTGAATTGTGACCAATGCCCTTTTCTTGTAGATTTGGGTGAACAGTCCCCATACAGCCAGTGGCTACTACACCATCTATGACAGTGAGACTCTTCAAGCCGATCACTTCAACACTCGCCTCAGCTTTGGGGATGCTGCTCAGACACTCTGGGCTCGGACAGGATACCTAGGCTTCGTGCGCCGGACTGAGCTCACGGCGGCCACTGGAGGTATGTCCTGCTACAGCTGCTCCCTTCTGTCCTGCTTCAAGTTTCTGTGGCACTGGCCAACCTCTTTCAGCCTTTGGACTGTGAGGGGAGAGAGAGAGAGATGTGTGTGTTCAGTTGTCCCCTTCTATGACTCTTGGACCCATAAGTGAACTTATACTCATTTGAAGTAACGCTTTATCCTGTGAAGAGCATCTAGGAGGTGAGCACTTGGGGCCACCATATCAGTGTCCCCGAACTGTGGGTCAGGACGGCGGGGCAGCCATAGAGATATACCTTATGATGCATAAATACCTCTGGCAGATCTTGAATTTACAGCCCCTGTAGGCTGATTCCAAACTGAATGAGCTCCTGGGGTGGTATTACAGCTTTTAGCTTTTCTACCCCTGCAAACTGTTTGGGGAGCAGGAGGAACAGCCCCAATCCCCGCGAGGGCCGTCAGTCCTGAGGAGCCATCTTGCTGAAGTGCTCTAGCCCCCTCGGTGTCTTGAGTTGGATACCAATCTGCTTTGTGGTGAGGCGCTGGTGTGAGGATTCCCTCCAGTCATCTGCCCAGTTGGTTGTCATGGCTTGACTGCTGCCTCCTTCACCCTTTCTTCCTTACTAGCATTGATAGCCATTTAAAAATACTCGACATTAGCCATGTCATGCACTTGAAGAACTGATACAAATAATTCCCTGGGCTTTAAAGGCCTAAATTGGACCATGCTATTTCTCCTTAGCTCTGTTCGTCTGTTCCATACTGTCCCCTAGCCTCCCTGTGTCGCATAGAGAGGCAGGACAGAGGATAGCACAGTGGAGAAGAGGGTGGCATCTGTCCCTGGTGCCCTGGCTTTACAGCCCGTCTGTGCCACTAGCTCTGTGACCTTGAGCAATCACTTAACTTCTGTTTCCCACCTAGAAAATGGGAGTGGCTGTGTCTCTTACCTCATGAAAATGACGTGAGATTAAATGAAAGGATGCATTTAGACACCTGGAACAGTGCCTAGCACACAGAAAGCCTCATTCATCATTAACTGCTGTGTTTTTTTTTTTTTAAGACAGAGTCTCGCTCTGTTGCTCAGGCTAGAGTGCCGTGGCGTCAGCCTAGCTCACAGCAACCTCAAACTCCTGGGCTCTAGTGATCCTTCTGCCTTAGCCTCCCGAGTAGATAGGACTACAGGCATGAGCCACCATGCCCGGCTAATTTTTTCTATATATTTTTAGTTGTCCAGCCAGTTTCTTTCTGTTTTCAGTAGAGACAAGGTCCCTCTTTTGCTCAGGCTGGTCTCGAACTCCTGAGCTCAAATGATCCACCCGCCTCGGCCTCCCAGAGTGCTAGGATTACAGGCGTGAGCCACCGCACCCGGCCTAACTGCTATGTTTATGAGCTCATCCCAGGTGATCGGAACCTTTGCTGGACCTCCTAATCCTTCTCACTCCAACAACTTCAATCACTGTGTTTTGCTGAGTTTTTCAGAAATCTACCTTTTCCAGAAATTTTTACAAAATCATCTCCCTTCTGTGTCCTACCTGGATTACAAGCCTGTTAATAACCTGGACTAGTCTCCCTATTCTATAATCCTGCTCCTTCTGTCTGGATTCCATGAAGCTATCTAGAAACAGTGACACATGCTCCTCTCTCTCCAAGAGGCTCAGAGCGTCTCTCCTTCCACCTCCCTTCCCAGCCATCATCTGGCTGAGCCCTGACCTCAGCTTTTCCAGGAGCCTTCCCTGGACCTTCGAGCTGGGCTCGTGATGTCCTCTGCTCCCTTCGCACTGCGTACACACTCCTGTCACTGGGCTTGCTGCATTACAATGGAACACCTATTTGTGTGTCTTTTTCCCCAACTAGCCCATAAGGATTTTCACAGCAGGAATCATGTTTGGTTGTCTTTGTCTCCCCAGCACTTAGAGCACAGTTCCTAGCACACAATAGTAATAAGAATAGCTAATTTTTTTTGTAGCATTTACAAAGCACCACACACATTAACTACCTTGCATAGATTAACTCACTTAGTCCTCAGAGTAGCCATTTATTACCATCCCTGTCTCACAGAGGGGTAGCAGGACTCAGCCTTAAAGAATTTGCCCAAAGTTACACAGCTGGTAAGGGGTGGACTGAGCCAGGTGACAGGTGGTCTGAACCTTGTGCTCTTGACTCCAGCGTGATATCGTACTCAATATGTGTCTGAGCCACATTTCTCTCTCTTTTGTCAGAGCGTCATGACGCATTATATGTGGTGGGAGCTCTGGATGAAACGCTGGAGCTGAGAGGACTGCGATACCACCCAATCGATATTGAGACCTCAGTGTCTCGGATCCACAGAAGCATTGCTGAATGGTAAATTCCCCAACACAGGTTGGGTTTCCCACCTCAGCTTTGGTAGTAATTTAAATTGATCTAACTAGTCAGCCATGTGTACCAAATACCTACCTACAGACATAGAACTCCATGAGGAGTAAGTAGACTGAATCTCGTTTTGGATGTACAGTCTGCTGTGGCCAACAAGACCTATTCACAGGAACCAGGTGAGGCCACAGGGACACTGTGGGACTGAGTCCTTTTTTAAATGATAGACTCTCGTAATTGGAAGGGACTAACAGATCATCTACCTCTGGGAAGTTGGTGTAATAGGATAGAAAGAACCATGACTTTATGGTCAGAAGACCCAGCTTAAAGGCTCAGCTCTCCCACCCTGCCTTCTTGATCTGTAAAACATTCTCTCCACTACTTCCTAATTATTAGAAGGATCAAATGAGAAGGTACTTTGTAAACTGTTAAGTAGTAAGCAGATGAAAAGGATCATTATTAGTATCTCATCCGGTTTCCCTCTCTTTGCAGGAATTCCCCGTACATTATCCCTGATAAAGGATCATCCAACCTCATGATGACTTAACATTCCATAAAATTAAAACTCTATAGTTTTTAACATTCTGAGTTCTTGACTATACAGAATCCATCCAGTTTCCTTTCTGCGTAGTTAAGTCAGTGTGCTCTTCCTCAGGTTTTTTTCCCATGCTAAATAGCCACAGTTCTTTTAATGGTTGCTCATGCTTTACAAATACTTCTTTGTCTGAAGATGTTCTTGCCCTGATCAGAGTCTCTCCCTAGACCTGAACAAGACTCTGACCAAGGCAAGAACATCTTCAGACAAAGAACCCTCTGGGAAGCATGCAGAGAAGCTGGGTGCCATGGTTACCCTCTAATTTTAGACATTCGACTTTTAATGGAATCAGATACTGTGTACATTTTTTCTTTAATGATCAGAATCTGTTTTTAAAGCAATTTAGCACTGCATATCCCAGGTCAGGCTATACTTTCTAACCCAGTAACCCCTCTCAGTGGAAGGTAACTTTCTGCCTTATGGCATGTTTGCATGATAGGAGACACTGTGTAGGACACCAGTAGCTCATGGAAAGGTCAGACAGATGCTCTTCCTGTTGGGCTCAAGAATATTAGGCCAGTCTGAAGATATTGAGTTATCTCAGTCAGTTATTCACAGTTGCTTGTAAGATTGAACTACTCTTTCCTCCTTCTCACTACCGCACTTGACTGGTCTAAAAACAAAAAACAAAAGCCAAAAACAAAACAAGAGAATATTATCTTAGTCAAAGCTCTTATGTTGCAAATAACAGAAACACTCTTCAAAAAAGCTGAAGTGAAAGAGAGAATTTAATGGAAAGTAATTCTGGCTATCTCAGAAGTTCCAAAAAGACTAACTCTGGGTCTTGGGCAAAGGTAGGAACAGAAGGCGTCAGGAATCACTGTCCTCTCTCACTTTCTAGAGACATAGGGACATTCCCTTCATTCTTTCTCTCCTCCCTGAAGAGCCATTCTCTGTGTGTCTCTGTACCCCTGTCTACCCCAGAACATTCAAATCCACATGTCCTCAGTGCAGGTGGCCAGCTAACAACTTCCAAACTCTCAGGAGATTTTGGATAGCTCAGCTAATCAGCTGTGACCACAGGGGCAAGGTGTCATATATCGGAGGCATGATGCTGACCTTCTGGTTGGGATCCAGGAGAGACGGCAGTTCTCAGGGAAATGGACATCAGTCTTGGGCAGATACTGTGAAAGATGACTGGTAAAGGTGACAACATGTTAACTGAATGTCATTGGAATTTCAGCGCTGTGTTCACGTGGACCAACTTGCTTGTGGTGGTTGTGGAACTGTGCGGCTCTGAACAGGAAGCTCTGGATCTGGTCCCGTTAGTGACCAACGTTGTCCTGGAAGAGCATTACCTCATCGTTGGCGTCGTGGTTGTGGTGGACCCAGGTGTCATCCCGATCAACTCCAGAGGAGAGAAGCAGAGGATGCACCTCCGTGACAGCTTCCTAGCTGACCAGCTAGACCCCATCTATGTGGCTTATAACATGTAGCCAGCCTTGTGGGGACTGCAGGGCCATCCTGAAGAATCACCAAGACCGAAGACCCATGCTAGGAGCAAGCTTTTAAATGATGTGAAATAAGCTGAGATGGCTACATTATATTCTTCATCTCGTCCTGTGGGATTCTGCAATCACACAACACACAGGAAAGGGGAATTCTGTGGAGGCAAATGAAAAAAATGTTAACAGGCCAGTAGACATGAGCTTTGACATAGCGTGAGCAGCACAACATGGAAGCAATTATGCGCATGTTGCATTTTTTTCATCTGTTGTACATACTTGTATTTTTATCTAATGCCGTTTTAGAATTTTGTAAGGGAGTTTAATGAATTCACATGAAGAGGGTAGTCTGAGTTACACAGTTCCCCACTCTGTACTGTATTTTGCCATTTTGCCGTAGCTAGATGTTCTGCGGGTTTTGTTAACATGGAACTACTCAGCTTACTTGCAGTCAACCCATAAACAAAACAGATAACCCACTGAATATGAGAATTACTTTATAATTCTTGACTGTAAAACATTTTGACCAGTGTTTTAAACATGTAAATAGGAATACACATAATTCAGCTAAAGAATTGAAGAATTGGCTTGTATAATTACAACCAAAGTAGAAACATTTCTACTTGGAGAGAATTTCAATATTCTCTTACTGTAGTATCATTGATTAGGTAACGAAAAAGTGCAAATTGTTTGCAGATTTTGCTGCGCATTGTCCTATGTCTTTGTTGGCTGGTGTATTTTATAAACTAAAGCTGCCTATGTTTGTTTTTAAAGCTTGCATTCTCAGAATCAGCTTAAGCTTCTTAGGAATTCAACCTGTTTCTATAAGCTGAGAATCTCAGTTTAAAAATCAAAATGTTAAGAAAAAGCTAAGATTTATCAGATCCCACCCTACTCTAAGGAACCACTAGAACTTACTCTGGCCCAATGTTGAAACTATCTTTCAAATTTAGAGTGACTACATAAGAATTTAGAAGTTCTTCTTTTTCCAGGCACATTGTAAACTGTGTCTACAGTTTATACATATAGCTTCTCTTTTTCTGAAAACTGAAGAATGCCCTTTGTTCTTCCAATTCATGAGGGCAGGGAGTTTAAAAACAAGAATTATAGGCCGGGAAGGCAGTGGGATCAACCATCTCATGAAACTATAAGGCCACGTAACTACACAAATCTGACCAATCTGGATTGCCAAAATAGCCAGGCTTATGCTGAAATGGGGGAAGTCTGATGTATGCAAGAAACTCTTTTGAAATAAATTGTGCCCAGGCCAAGCAGACAGTATGGGACTGAGTTTGGCCTCTGGCTCAGTTTCCTTTCTTTGGTCTGATACTTCATGTATTTGAATATAGTTGAATCTTATTATTTTTTTCTTACAGAAATATTTTTAAAAATTAAAAAGTACTCAAAAGTGAAAAGAGTTAACTTGTTAAATCAGAATGGTTCTCTTTGACCCACTCTGGTCTATTGTGTAAATATTTATTTAGACTATTTTAATAATACATATTATTTACCCCACTGTAACATCATGTAAACTAAATATGTTTTTAAACAATTTTTAAGACTTGTAATTACCCTGAAAATAAGGTTTATAATACAAAAACAGACCCTTCACTATGGCAGCACTCTTGGGCTGCCTTACCCAGTCTTGTGACTCAGAGCCACTTTATGACTCCCTTTTACATAATCTTCTTTTCCTCCCAACTCATTCTCCATAGAGGGCAGACCTCGAGACATTTTCCAGTTCCAGATCTCTCTTGCAACATTTTAGATGGAATTAATTTACACATGATGGGGGAGGTTCTAGGATGTACAGGAAAAAAGCACTTACATTGGAGCAAACAAGAAATCCTAGCATCTAGCAATGGTTTGGTTTGCAGAGAAAACAGCCTAATATTTGGAAAGTAATTTTCTTAAAACTATTTTTAATGATTCATTAAACAAAGCAAGGGATCCTGAGGATTATATAAGTCTATCTCCATAATCCCCCAGTTCTAAGAAAAAAATTATAGGTACATTCTATCCTGTAGGTTGCTTTGATAATTCTTTAACACAAGTTAGGACATAAGCATCTAAAGACGCATTGTCCACTATAAATACTATAAGGTGAGCCACGTCTGTAATTTAAAATTTCCTAGTGACCATTTTAAAAAGTAAAAAGAAACAGGTGATGTTGATTTTAATGTATTTTATTTAACCCAGTATCTCAAAAATACTGTTATTTCAACATGGAATCAATATAAAAGTTATTAATGAGATATTTTACATTCTCTCTTCTATTAAGCCTTTGGAATCCAGTGTGTATGAAACACATCTCAAGTCAAATTAGCCAAATTTCACGTCTTCGGTATTCCCATCCCCTCAAAAAAATTACTCCTTTAATCTGAGTATGGCCAACTCCCAGTTACTTAGGAACTAGATTATCCAGTTTTGTAGTTCCTCAGGCTTCTAATTTATCTTTATTTTTTGCTTTCTGCCATCTGGCTGCATTATTGATCTTTTATATATCCCCCACAGCTAGACTATGCTAGTGGAAGAAGGAAGGCTGAGAATTGTCCTTGAGGGACTTCTTCAGTAACTCTGGTAAGGTATCCTCTGGAGGGAGAGGAGAGTCATTAGCTTAGATGGTGTTTGTGGGGACATCTGCAGATTTAAGGCCTACTCTATCGCAGACTCGAGTAAGAAAACTTTCTCTCGATGACACGATGCTCTTGCACTTTCCTCGTTAAGTGGAACCTTTGTGGTAGAACTGATTCATAAGACAGGCCTGAAAGGCCATTATTGATTTAAAAAAACACAGCCTTTCTAATCCTCTGGGACACAATTCTGTCTGGATTTTTTTGTCTGTGGAAAAAAACTAAACAGCAAGCCCCATCTCAGTTAAGAGAAATCTGTTGGTCCAAAGGTTTCTGAACCTCTTTCTGGTTGTTAGCAAAAGTTAACTGAAGTCCATCAGGAAGGGGCTGCCTCAGGAAAATTCCTAGGCCCTAGGAATTCTTCGAGCTGCACAAATGCCATCTTCTGCATCAGTGAGACCCTAGGAATGACCAGCATGCTAATCGGCATCAGTGAATTGCAGTCTTCACTTCCTGCCTCATAAAGGGCCTGTTCTCCCCAGTACCAGGTCCTTTCCTCACCAAGTTGTGTTGCCTCATGCTGTTTAGGGACCATTGCCTGTCTTGGTCATGAGTGTGTCTCCTTACTTTAGTCCCTGGGCAATGCTTGCTTAGTGCTTTTGTTAACAAAGGGCCGGAGGCCTTAGGTTTTTTGTTAAGGTCTCTGCCCCAGGCATGGTGCTCAATATCTTGGCCAAATAAATTCCTTTCCTTGAATATCCAGGAATCTTTTAGACTAAAGCAATGAGGAGTTATCATCGCACCCTCAAACTCCAACACGATCTATGCCTTAGTGTTGTTTTTGTTGTCTGCTTTGATGTGAAAGCAAGAGTATTTGGAGCAAGAAGCTGCAGTACTCCAAATACACAATAGGCCTTTTCTTTATCATTCATACATTTCTGGTTTAGGTATGTGTAGACGGGCCATGTTATTTGTCCAGAGGAAGAGATTGTAAAGATACAAGAATAATTTTTTAGTCCTAAATGCTGTTTTGTTTACTTTCTGTCAAGATATTTACCCGTGTCAAATTCAAACTACAGTACTGTGTAATTATGTATAAAGTTTTTTTATTTATTTGAAATTAGAGTAGATATACATTTTTAAATTTAACATCTGGCTGGACAGTGTTCTATTAACTCATTGAATGTGTTTCCTTTGTCTTGTGTTAATAAATATTGATGCCTGATGGTGTTTAATCCTTCACATATTGGGTGGGAATGAGGGAATGGATGGATTTTAAATTTAATTTCAGGTGGTAGGACCCAGCTGGAGTGGTCTAAGGAAAGTGAACACAGAGAGCCAGAGTCAGTGTTACTGAGGGATACCAGATCAAGGAATAAAAATGTCATTTTGAAAACTAAGAAGTCTCTTGTCAGGACTTTTCAAGGTAATAATTATAGTTTAGTCTTCCTCTTTACCCATGTGGCATTTGGTAGTTTTAAACTATTGATCATAATTTTTTCTAATCTGTAGTTGGGCCAGATTTTAGCTTTTACTAGAATGATACATTTGCTCTTCCATTTCCTGGTTTCAAGAAACTTGATGGGAGCCCATCAAATTATGCATGTTCGCAGACACTGAAAGTGGTCCTTGAATTAGGGTCCAAGCTATTTTGGTAGCTGAGAACTGTTTTTTCATTTAACAGACATTTATCAAGTGCCTACCCACTAAGCACAAGGCACTGTGATAAGAGCTGAAACTAGAGAGAAAGAAGCACTAAGCCACTGTCCTTGAGGAGATACAGGATAACAATTGCAATATAAATACAATGAGGGTTTAGAGCACAGGTGGATTGTGAGAACAGGTAGAGTAGGCTCCCAACCCAATGGTGAGGAGGAATAGTGTGCTGGAGGAGCTAACATCTGACCGGAGTTTTCAAGAATGATGCAGCCAGATAAAATAAAGACAGCAGGGGGCTGGGGTCTGAAAGAAAGAACAAAGATTAGGGCTGGGCGTGGTGGCTCACGCCTGTAATCCTAGCTCTCTGGGAGGCTGAGGTGGGAGGATTACTTGAACTCAGGAGTTTGAAACCAGCCTGAGCAAGAGTGAGACCCTGTTTCTACTAAAAGAAAAATTAGTCTTTCCTAAAAATAGAAAAATTAGCCGGCCGTTGTGGCGCATGCCTGTAGTCCCAGCTACTCCGGAGGCGAGGCAAGAGCATCACTTGAGCGCAGGAGTTTGAGGTTGCTGCAAGCTATGATGACACCACTGCACTCGTATCTGGGGCAACAGAGCGAGAAAAAAAGCAGGAAGGCAGAGTTGCATATTCTGGGAACTGCAGTTCCTTATTGGGATTGCTGTGGTTTGTATGTGTCTGTCTAAATTCATGTGTTGGAACCTAAGACTCCATGTGATAGTATTAAGAGGTGAGGCCTTTTGGGAAGTGATTAGGTTATGGGGCTCTGCCCTCCTGAATGGATTAGTGCCCTTATAAAAGGGCTAGAGAAAACTAGGCCCTTTGGCCCTTCTGTCCTTCCCCCATGTGAGGACACAGTGTTTTTCCCCTCCAGAGGAAGCAGCATTCAAGGCACCATCTTGGAAGCAGAGACTCACTGGACACAAACTGTCAGCGACTTGATCTTGGACTTCCCAGCCTCCATAACTGTAAGCAATATAAATTTATGCTGCTGCTTATAAATTATTCAGGCTTAGG